AGAGGAGTGTGGGTGAAGCTTCTGTCAGTTCTTTTTTCAGTTGCTAATGATGCTTTGTACGTGGAACTTTTTTTGCTATATATATATGGGGAGAGAGAATATTTTGTTTTTCTGTTAATTACTCTTCCTTAAATATGGGTCCTTGTTGTACTTTATACTGGAGGTCCATCTGTAATATTTTATTTTGCTGTTTTGTAATGTTCTATTTTATGTTTTAAGAAAGGTTGTAAATAGCTTAAAGCTTTTTCTGGAAATGCAAAGCAGTACAGAAAGCAACAAATAAATAAACAACCCTTTGACTGACTAAGGGGGCAATCCTAAGGTAAGATCTGCTGGGGTAAGCAGTTTAGGATGCAACAGATTTCCAGCTGATTCCTGGCGCAGCCAGCATTAAGTCCCCAACCCTGGCACAGCTGAAAGGACACGGGCATAACTTGCTCAAGCTCAACTGGCTGAGCCAAAGCTGGTGTAACTCCCCCTAAAGGGGCATTTGGGGGTTGGGGGAAGAGGGAAGGGACTTAGGTTGGATCCTAAGTGCATTCTGCTTTGTCAATGGACCTGGCAACCCACCTCAGAACAATATTTTAAAGGCCTCCCTCTGCATATTCAGAGCAGCAGTAGCAGCCCTGCTGCTGGATGGGGTTTGAATCTGGTGTAACATTAAAGGTAAAGGGACCCCTGACCATTAGGTCCAGTTGTGACCGACTCTGGGGTTGCGGCGCTTATCTCGCTTTATTGGCAGAGGGAGCCGGCGTACAGCTTCCGGGTCATGTGGCCAGCATGACTAAACCGCTTCTGGCAAACCAGAGCAGTGCACGGAAACGCCGTTTCCCTTCCCGCCGGAGCGGTACCTATTTATCTACTTGCACTTTGACGTGCTTTCGAACTGCTAGGTTGGCAGGAGCAGGGACCGAGCAACGGGAGCTCACCCCGTTGCAGGGATTCGAACCGCCGACCTTCTGATCGGCAAGCCCTAGGCTCTGTGGTTTAACCCACAGTGCCACCCACGTCCCTTGTGGTGTAACATTACAGCAGCTTAATTTTCAGGAGTTTGCTTTATGCCAGCTTCATTTGCATAAGGTTTCTCCCTAAATTATTCTGGAAGAGTCAAGTCCTGCTTCACTGTTGTTTATTACACAGAGTTTAAGGGAAATGTAATTTCTATTCAGAGCCCAAGTCCAATTCATATGCTCCATTCTTCCTGAGAAAGTACAAGACAATTTTTTTCCCTTTCACTTTGACATGTTGCTTGTCATTTTCTATCAGCCAGAAACCCCACAGGCACAGAAAAGAGCAATGAATATTATTTTCTACTGAATCATGGGGGAATATTGCTGGAACCAAAACCATTGTGTGATGTAGACCTCTGTTACTTAAATAGTCTGAAGTGATAGATATTCTGGAGGCTGGTACATTGACATGTTCAGAGTTTTAAAAGTGTTTTCAGATATTTTGCCCACAGATGCTTTTGCACAAAATTTTTATCATGTATATATATTTTTCAATTTACAGTGCAAGTAGGAGGAAAGACACATGGGCTGGTTCACACAGAACTGTTCATTGCTTCATGCCTGCATCAGTAAGTGGTTATGTCAGCGTGTGACTCAGTTATCTCAAATCCCACACCAAGTCAGTTTCTCAATGGTGCAACCAGGGTCAGATCTTGAAGTCCAGGGTCCCAATTCAGCAGAATAAGGGGGGCAGGGGCATTGGAAGAGGGGTGCAGGGGGTGCGGTCCGCCCAAGTGTAATCCCTGAGGGGGTGACAAAATGGCACACCGCGGAGGTGTCACTTACCATGGGGCCTGGCCTGTAGCGCACCCGAGCCACACATCTCTCCTAGGAGTGATGCAGTGGCTCAGAGCCCCGCATTGCCCGAAATGGCAGCGTGGGGCTTGCGTCCGCCAGGGCTTGCACCCTCCGTGGGGCGGGGTAATGCTTACCCCACGTTGAAGTGAAAGAAAACATGTTAGCATCTAAAGAGGGTTCCCATAAAACCATTAGCTCCACAATCTAGAATCACCTGGCTGTGTCACTGCTGTCTTTCCACATCCATCTGTGAGTTATCAAGCGGCAAGAATTGACTCCCACATTGACACACGTGTGTGAGCAGCCCAGGGACGCGGACTTATAAAAAATATTGGGGGGACCCGGGAAAGCTCATGAATAATAAATAAGCTCATGAATATGCAAATAAAGTGGCTCCGGCCCTAAATAGGGCAAGCCACGCCCCCCCAGCCAGCCGATTGGCTGGCTGGGAGGTGTGGCCAGTCGGGATTCCCCTGTTCTCGCGGGGGCTGAAACCGCCAGGAGGAAGGAAATTCCCCCCGGCAGTGCCTTGGCAGTGGCGGTGGTGCTGCGAAGCAGCGAGGCAGGAGCCCCCGCCCCCGGCGCCCGAGATTATTGGGGGGGCTGAGCCCCCCCAAAAAATTTTTTGAGGGGGCTCGAGCCCCCTCAAGCCCCATGGAGTCGGCGCCTATGGAGCAGCCCTTAGACACACACAGTTGCCACCTTTGAACCTACCAAATGATGGACAGGGCAGCCAATGACCACCTTCATGGGATAAAAGAACCAGAGCCCTTCTGAATCAGGACAATGGCCCCCCAGCATCCTGTTCTCCTTGTGGGCAACCAGGTGAGGTACCTGTGGGAAGCCCAGAAGCGGAATCCAAGCAAATGACTCCACTTCCTCTCCTGCAGTTTCCAGCACCTGTCTTGAATGAATAGGTTATCAAGAAATAATAAGAATAAGAATAATACTCCTATCTATCTATCTATCTATCTATCTATCTATCTATCTATCTATATATATATAGCACTGCCTATATCACTATTGTCTACACTGACTGGCAGCAGCTCAGGGTGATGCCAGGGACTGACCTTCAGCATACAGAGAAGATGCTCTACCACTGAGCTATACTCCTGCCATAGCGTGGGCTTTTACTTGCTGGAGATCTTCAAACAAAGTTGCTTGATAGCCATATGCCAGGAGATGTCTAACTCTGGATTTCCTGCATCGAACAGCAGGTTAGACCAGATGGCTTTCCAGGCCTGTTCCAGCTCTATGATTATGTAAGGAGCATATTTCTCCTAGCATGCTACTTTCCCATGTCCAGGATATTTTGTTTTGGGGTTGGGTTTTTTCTTTTTGTTTTGGTATGGCAAAGCATTCAACTGTGCAAAAACCAACCCAGCAGCTTGAAGTGGTCTTAGAAGACTTTTACCACTTGGTTCTGCTGAAAACATAAAGTCGTCATTTCTCATGCTGACATATTCACATCTTTGACTTGACTGTTGTTTCTGCTGTGATTCTATCCTTAGCAGGCAGAAAAGGTTATTCTTCAGGTTTGGAACATAGAGAAATATCCATTAACATTCTTGAATCTTTAGCACCCTCTTGTGGAAAAGTATTTGCATGACATTAGCTAGCAATCAACATGTGTAGAATTACGTATATATTGCAAGCTCCTTGGAGCTTGTCCGTCTTCTTCTGTGTGAGTGATGGTACCATCTAAACCAGGGTTTCCCAAAGTTGGGTCTACAGCTGAGGTTTTTTTTTTTTACTACAAATCCCACCATCCCTAGCTAACAGGACCAGAGATGAGGCAAATTGTAGTCCAAAGTTTCTCCTTCCTTTGTTCCTCTTTGTGGGTGGAAGGAAAACACTTTTCCTGCTAAGCTTGCTAAGTGTTCCTCTAGATTGACAGTATTTTGCAGGGGGGAGGGCTTCAAAATACAAGAACTTTAGGTTTATGCCATTAAAAGTGGGTTAAGGCATTCTGTGTTCTTAGCACACTTTAAAAAAAACCAACAAAGGTGGATTTTGTTTTTTTCCTTATGGTTTGCATTCAGAAGTGTGCGCTGATTAACAGGAAGAAACACCCTGCAAGTAAATCAGGATTAATGATAGTGTCATATTAATTGCCCCGTCAACAGATCAAAAAGAATGTTTAGCAAGGACTGGATCTAACCTCTACATAAGGTTTGTGCAAGCAAATCAGGATGATCCATTTGTCATTTTTACCTCTGCATTATGCTTTTAGGAAGCTGGGCAGAAAGAAGGCATTCAGCAAACGTAGCTTTCTCCAGCAGGGCAATTCTGTGATAGGGAATCACCTGTTGGATTTCCACTCCTCCTGATGCTATTAAGGTTTCATTAGGAGCCTTGCCAGAAATTGCACTAACCAAGGGCCAGACCAAGACATTGTGGCGCCTGAGGCGAAACACAAAATGGTGCCCCCACTCCACCTGGGAAGATCTACATCAGGAGGAAAGGTGGAATAGAAATCTGGATTGGGATCTACTGCCCGCGTGGATCCTGCTGGCAGAGCCATTTGCCTCATGGACCCTGGTCTGGGACTAATGCATTTGAGCAACTGCCACCTCATGACAGGCTGCTTGCTGGGCCTTTACTAGCCTATAGGACAGGCAGAAATGCAACAGGTGAAGCTTGCACCACCACAGCATTTTTTCCACGCCAGAAAAAAACAAAATCCCTGCCAAGCTGCTGCATATCAGGCAACTTATAAAAAGCACAGCAGCGTCTATTTCATTTATTTCATAACATTTATAATATATACTGCTTGATTGTAGGGGGGAATCTCTAAGCTGTTTCTATTTATCTTATGATTGATTTGCTTTTGCTTTTTTTAAATCCTGTGTTTTGTACAACACGTGATTCAAAAATGTTTCCATGCAGTATTTTTTTTAGGGGGAACTACTGGCAAGTTCAGGTGTGGTTTAAAAAAAAAAAAGGAGGGGGAAGCCAGACAGCGACGGTACCCCCCCCCTATTTTTCTAATGGTAACGTCTCTGCTCTGAGAAGGACACATCAGTGGACGCTTCCATGAGAACGCTGAACGGGGTAGGGGAGAAAGAAATGCTGGCAACTTCTCCCTATTTGAAAAGGGCTTCGGCGGCTCCTTTCAGCTCCCTACCACGTGACTGGCTTTCCAACGGTCTCCGGCTGGCGGTGTGCGCGTGCGCGCGCGCTCGGAACGATCGGGAAGAAACCGTCCCCCTTTTAAATGTTTGAACTCGGGGCGCGAGGACAGAGGTGGACTGCGCCTGCGCGTCCTTGGCTTTGCCTCAGTCACCCCAGAAACTGCTTTTTTCACAGCCTCCTTTATTTGGGCGGCTTTGTTTTGGGATTTGGGTCTGAGGCAGGGAAAGTGCGTGGAGGAATTTTGGGGCGAGAGGCAGCCAGAGCAGGGCTTGGTACCCTCGTAGAGACCTGAGGACGTTGGGGGGGGTCGACTTCTGAGAGAAAAGGGGTGCTTTAGGTCCCCCCTCAAAATGCCAGGGGTGCTTTTGACCCCTTCCGAACACAAAAAGCAGCTTTTTTGTTTTAATGACAATGAGAAGAAGAAATTAACCAACCTGCTTATCCCATCAAGAGAAGGAGAGAGGGATGATTAACTCTCTGTTTAAGAAGCCACTCATTGACACAAAGGGATGTGGGTGGGTTGCGCTAGAATAATTTGCTAAGCCCTCCTGAAAATAAAAAGGGACGCACAAAAAGGAAGGAAGGAAGGAAAAAGAAAGAAAGAAAGAAGCCTGAGGGAAAGGATACTTCATTTTCTACTCTGGTCACATCCCCAAAGGAAGAGGGGCCCTGGACAGAAGTTTGGATGGTAATATCCAGAAGATAAAGCAAGAGTTAAAGCGGAGAGCCATTGCTCACACATCCCACACAAGAAGTACGCTGACCCCCATATCAAGAGGGGAATAAAAACTGTGACCCGTTTATTAGAATAGGACGTAGTTTTCTGTGACGAGAGGGCGAGCACAGATTATGGGTCCCATGACATGAAGATGCAACTGTGGTCCTTTTATAAGAGTGGAGTTCATAGGGAAAAGTTTGGCCACGGACACACATGACCAAGAATAGCACAAAACAGGAGGTGCTTTGACTCCTGATGAAAGAGAGCCACAGATACAGATGGATAGGCCATTTGACCCAACCCATGCCAAGAGGGAGAGAGCTGTAAAAAAACCCATGATAACTGGGACTAATATGACTGCATTGAGAAGCAAAGGATAATAAAGAGGGAATCTGGCCACAAGAGAAGCCCAGCATTAAAAGAGGGCCTAAGTGGATATACGATACTCCCTGGAGACAGTGGTGTTTCATCATGGAGAATGACCACACCACCATGCTGTTTTTGATTATGGGAGGTGGCACCTTGTTGCTGGCAACTGAGGTCAGGGCAGTGACTCGCAACCTTGTGAGCCATCTGGAGCTGCAGGTCTTCCTGCTGGAGATGTTGGCCACTTTCCAGTTGTGTGCTTGCTTTGGTATGCTGCATCCTTTGGCTCAGATGGAGAACCATGCCCAGCTCTATCTTGGCCACCTTTATTCTTTCCTCACTATGCATTTCCTCTTGACCTTAAGTGAGAGCGTAAGCAATCCCACCTGCATCCTGCTAGACATCTTGCAGAAGGGCATCTCAATGAAGGAAGGCGGGCTGAAGATTGTGGCCCAGTTCATTGGGGCCTTTCTAGCCAAACTGTACCAAAATGCTGTCTGGTTTGTAGGGATCAGCAATTTATTCCCTCATCCCCAGGAATGTAGCAATCCTCTCAAGACATATTTTTTAAAGGCCCTTTGCACAGAGCTTGTAACCTCCATCACATTCCAGTTTACTGTGCTGGAGTCGCAATCGCAAGAGATCCGTGTCAGAGCTAATGTGCTTTCCCTCGCCATCACCTCGCTGGTGTATGCAGGTCTGTTGCCCCTTCTGTCTCTTGTCTGCAAGAATGGCTGGCAAGGTTATATGTGTGAAACATATACAATGTTGTTGTTGTTGTTTAGTCGTGTCCGACTCTTCGTGACCCCCTGGACCAGAACATGCCAAGCACTCCTGTCTTCCACTGCCTCCCGCAGTTTGGTCAAACTCATGCTGGTAGCTTTGAGAACACTATCCAACCATCTCGTCCTCTGTCGTCCCCTTCTCCTTGTGCCCTCCATCTTTCCCAACATCAGGGTCTTTTCCAGGGAGTTTTCTCTTCTCATGAGGTGGCCAAAGTATTGGAGTCTCAGCTTCAGGATCTGTCCTTCCAGTGAGCACTCAGGGCTGATTTCCTTAAGAATGGTGAGGTTTGATCTTCTTTCAGTCCAAACCTCAACATTCTTAAGGAAATCAGCCCTGAGTGCTCACTGGAAGGACAGATCCTGAAGCTGAGACTCCAATACTTTGGCCGCTTACCAACTAATGAGTTGTCAAGGTGGGAATATGTCTGAACAATCACCATAAAAAGATGGCCTGTGGCAAGTGCTACCCCTAATCTTTCACATGTCCCCTGCTTATTGTCTCTGTCCCTGCTTCCTCAAGTCATAGAATCTTAGAGTTGGAAGGGTCCAAGGGTCATCTAGTCCAGCCCTAGTCCCATACAGCCACTCTGTTGTGTGTTTATTGTTCACCTCTCTATGCGCACATGATCATGGGGTTGAAGCAATTGCCCTATGGAGAAAAGTTACAACATTTAGGGCTCTGGGGGAAGCAATTAAGGGCAGACATGATAGAAATGTAAATAATGAGGCAAGGTGTGGAAAAAGTGGACAGAGATGCTTTTCTCCCTCTCATATTGGAACCCGTGGTCATCTGATAAAACCAAATCCCACTTTAAAATTACCCACCCATCACTACATCTTATGGTAGTGAATTTAATAGTTTGTGCTGTATGAAGAAATATTCCTTTCTCCCGAATCTTCCAACATTCAACTTGGTTGGATGTTCCTGAGTTCTAGCATTATGAGAGCATGAGAAACACTTTTTCTATCCACTTTATCCATGCCATGTATAATCTTATCAAGGGACCATTTAGTCCTTTTTTTCTAAACTAAAAAGACCCAAATGTTGTAACCTTTTATCATAGGGGAGCTGTTCCGGCAGCCTCATGATAATTTGAGTGGCTCTCTCCTACATGTTTTTCCATGTTCTCCTGTTTCCATAGTGGTTTGCACATGTCTCTGGGAAAGTGTCATAGATAGTGGGATTGCCAAAGCAGAATGAATCTAGCTAGGCATGGAAAATCATATACAGTATAGGGATGGGAAACCCCACACACTCTCAAAGTGGCTTGGCTTCATTTAGCTTTTGAAATACATTTTGAATGTTGAAAAAACTGACATATTGTAACTTTTTGTAACTTTGGCAGCAAGAGCTAAAAATATTTTTATCATGGTTCTTGAAGAATCTAATTTCTTTTAACAGGTCAGAAGGCTGATAGAAACATACTGTTACTGTTATTAGTTTAAATGAATGGACCAATTCATACAACATATTTTCTGTTGGTGTGAATAAACCTAATTGTCTTCATGATCATGACACAATTTAATGAACAAACTGGGCAATCGTTACAGTCATACCTCAGGTTGCAAACACTGTGGGTAGCGCGTTTTCGGGTTACGGACTGCGCCTAACCCGGAAGTACTGGAACGGGTTACTTCCGGGTTTCAGCACTTGCACATGCACAGAAGCGCCAAATCGCGTCATGCACATGCACAGACGCAGCACTGCGGATTGCGAACATGCCTCCCGCAAGGATCATGTTCACAACCCGAGGTATGACTGTAACATGTTCAGAAAAAATATTGCCACGGAGACATTTCTCCTAGCCACTATAATTAAGGGAATTGTTGATATCTGTGATTATGTGATAGCTAGTTCATATGTGATCTAAACCACTGAGCCTCTTGGTCTTGTCGATCAGAAGGTCGGCGGTTCGAATCCTCGCGATGGGGTGAGCTTCCATTGCTTGGTCCCAGCTCCCGCCAACCTAGCAGTTCAAAAGCACGCCAAAAAAAAGTGCAAGTAGAAGTAAACGATGGGAAGGTAAACGACGTTTCTGTGCACTGCTCTGGTTTCATAAGTGCCTTAGTCATCCTGGCCACATGACCCAGAAAAACTGTCTGCGGACAAACGCCGGCTCCCTTGGCCAGTAAAGCAAGATGAGCACCAGAACCCCAGAGTCGTCCGCGACTGGACTTAACTGTCAGGGGTCCTTTACCTTTATCTTTTTCATGATATATGAATTGAATATTCATGGTGGAGACCTCTCATGTCATCAAAAATGTATCATGAAAATGTGAAGTCTCTGCCACTTTGATGGAAAATCCTGTAAATGGTGAAATGGGTGAATCTCAAAAGGTCAGAAATGGTATGAAATAACTTACGTCACAATTATTATTAATTTTACTGTGGCGGGGAAGGAACTACAAAGCTGGTTGATTTATTAGGGACTGAGGCCACAATCTTATACTGTACCTGCTTAATGGGGAGTAAGCTCCATTTAACTCAATGGGATGAAGCCCTATGCCAGCAGCCAGCCAGTTCAGGCACTGGCTGAGTGCCCCAGGGACTTGGAAGGGTCTCTCATTGTCCTGAACCAACCATACTGCCATTCACCACCTTTCCTGCCAGGCATCCAATGCTTTTCAGTGGTGCCACTTTTTAATGGGAGCCAAGTGCAATTTCATTTCATTTATTTTCATTTACTAGACTCATTAGTCACTTGTCACCCGAAAGTGGTCTCCAAGCACCTTACAGCATAAAAAAGATATGCAGTACATAACAACATAGGGGAAAACCAGGAGTGGGGATCATATAATACCTTAGTATTTCATATAACATCTGGGGGGGGGGACCACCAGCTGCATAAATAGAGGTAAACAACATTACCAATACTCAAATAATAAAACAGTACTCTAACCCACTGATTAGCAAATAAATAAAATCTTAACCTCCCCCTTCTCCAAAAAGCATTCACCTTGAAGCAACATTCCCTGCCCCATTTAACCTCCAGCTGTTACAAATCCATGGTGGGTGGGTCCATTGTCCCCCAGGGATGGTCCAGCATCTCCCCCCTCCCTCTAGGGGAAAGGAGCAGCAAAGCAAGATGATGGCAACAAAAGTTTTGCCTGCTTTGCAGTTGACCCTCTGCTGTTGGTGGGGATGTTGTTTCCATCTGCAGTGGCTGCCCACCAATTTAAGTTATCCAAAATGCCATGCCCAGGCTCCATGGGCGTAGCTATGGGGAGGCAGGGGGGGCAGCTGCTCCCCCAATCAAGTAAATAAATAAAAATACCTAACTAAGTGACCAATTGCATTGCAGATAACTCGGTTCTGCCCCCCGAAAGCTTGCCCCCTTAAAATAAATCCTGGCTACGCCCATGCCTGGTTCCCAATAAGTTGGCAGGTGACCAGTGGTCACTGACCACCATGGATAGGAGCCAGGCATGATCTGCACTGGCTACCAATTAGTTTCCGGGCCCAATTCAAAGTGCTGGTTTTGACCCATAAAGCCTTAAACAGCTCAGGACCACAATACCTCAAGGACTTTTAATATGAACCTCTCCGGACCCTGAGATCATCTTCTGAGGCCCTTCTTCGTGTGCCTCCTCCTCGAGAGGCGAGGAGGGTGGCAACACAAGAACGGGCCTTCTCTGCAGTGGCTCCCCATCTGTGGAATGCTCTCCCCAGGAAAGTTTGCGTCTTCATTATACACTCTTGGGTGCCAGGCAAAAACATTCCTTTTTAACTTGGCCTTTGGTTGACCTGATCGGCATCCTATACCCTTTTAAAATGTGGGGTTTCTTGGGGGGGTGTTATTGAGTTGTTGTTTTTATTTTGATTATATATTTTGTAGTTTTATATTTTGATTTTGTTATGTGAACTGTGCTGAGACCTCCGGGTATATAAATTCTATTATTATTATTATTATTATTATTATTATTATTAAACCTCCCATTCCAAAGTGCCACGGCGGAAGCATATCCAGCAGCAACCAGGTGGCAGAGGAAGAATGTGAGTGCTACCACTCTGTGGCCCAACCAGAGCAAAGAACCAGCCCTGGCACTATGCCCAGGAGTGCAAAACTAGCCCTGAGCGTTTGCTCAGATCATAGAACACCTCTGATATCATCCAGCCTTGTCATATGTAATATCTGGATAAAAGGAAACATAATATAAAGAAATTTCGTTTTGCTATCTGAAAAAGGGACATATTCTAGGATTTATAGGGCAGTGCTGTTCTGAAGGACGGAGGAGCAGGAAAGGCAAAGAAGAGGTGAAATTTTAACGCCTGATCCACAGAGGCGCATTTCCGATGTTTCTAAAACAAGCGCCGCAATACACTCTCGTGTTTCTGCTGCAACAGACTAACAAGGCTTTCCCTCTGGGATTTATGTACTAAACTAAGCTTCTAGTCGGCCTTGGTTCTTTCTGTGTTAGCCTATGCAGGTTAATTGTATTAGATCGCACAAGTTGTTCACCCCGAGGGGTCAGAGGAAGCACAGCCCGGCTCCTCCGCCCGGGACGCGTCGTCCCTATATGGGGAAAGCTACGAGCGCGGACGGGCCCGGGGCCACCTGTTGCCCCTCCTTCTCGGGGAGACGGGTCCACCTCCTCCCCCAGCCTTCCCGCGACCCTATAGGGGGCCAGAGTCTCACGCACGCCTGGCCTAACCCTGCCCATCCCGCCAGGAGGCGGCGGCTAGGCTTCGAGCGAGCCGCTTTGCAGACACGATCCGGCCTTCTCAGCAGCGGCTGCGGCTGCTGCTCTTGCAAAGCTGGAAGCTGCTGTTTCACTCGGCTGGTGCTGACTGCGGAGCGGCGTCGGCGGTGCTCCATCTGTCGCCCCAGCTGCGGCGACCCGGGAGAAGCTTGTGGGCAGGTAGCAGGACGCAGCCCTCTGGCAGCGGGCTGGGAAAAAGCTGAGCGGAGGTGCAACGGAGAAGTGACATGGGACTAACGTGCCTTTGGACCAGTTCAGTTGCCTGGGGATCATGAACACAAAAGAGAAGAATTGGGGGGAATAGAGCGGGGGGCTCTGAGATTCATAGAGAAGGAATGTGAGTTAGAATCTGTTATCAGCATTGAAGGAGCTGTGGGGCCCGTCGTCCCTGCCCATTTAGGACGCCAGCAAAGCAGGACAAGGAGCCAAATTCGCCCCTACCCCTGCAATCAAACTTGGAATCACAACGATTTTTGCCTAGAGCCAGTGAGAGTGGGAAAATTAAGCACTGGAAATGAAACCAGTGGTGGTGGCGGCGGAAGAATTGGGTTGGCAACAGCAAGACTGGGCAGTCAATGGAGAAATCTTGGCAGGGCTAGGAGAAAGTTGACCCTGCTGTGGGGACAGGCAAAAGGGAGCATTGATATCTGCTGACATTTTATGGATATCTGCAGGGGAACTGAAACCCCAACAGGGCTGAGGAGGCAGGAGGCACTGTCAAGTCCTCAGAGAGCAAAAGGGAGTTGAAGTGAGGAGAGTTGAGTAGGACAGAAAGCTGTGGTTGTCCCTAAGGAGGTGGAACAGAACAGGGAGAAGTGACTTTATTGATTTCTGCTGCAGGAACTTCAGATCTTTTTATCATGGATGTCAGTGAAGCCTGCATCTCACTGTTTGTGATGGCTGTTACAATGATGGTCACGGCTGGCTGCAGGCGGACTGGTCAGGCAGTCTCATAAGTCAAATATCCTCTGCTTCTTCCTTGAGTTAACCGGCATCTTCCAGATCTGTGCCTGTACCCATGAGATTTGTCTACTGGCTGATTTGCCCCCCAAACCTCATGTGGCACTTGCCCTCACTTACGTTATCACTGCTCTTCATGGTTTGACTTTGCCTGGCAGCATCAACAACCCCTCCAGCAGCTTTCAACTTTTCTGCAAGGGTAGGATCACGGCCAAGACTTGGTGGCTACAGACTTCAGCTCAGTTCACTGGAGCAGTATTGGCTCATCTTTACATCAAATTAATCTGGATGTTGGGGATGACATCAGTGCACTTAAAGACAGCAGCGGAGAATTGTAGTACCCCAATTCAAACTACCTTAGCAAAAGCTTTTGTCCTAGAACTCCTATTCTCTTTATTACTGCATCTGACCTTACAGACCTTTGAATCAATGAATCCCAACACAAAGGTCCATCTAATCGCCATGCTGATTACCATTATGGTATATGAAGGTTTGTTATCCTCTTCCCTCTTTTGTTATTATCTCAGGCTGTAAATAGACTTTGAATGTTAAGTATTGCCTTACACAATTGGTTTTATACTGCTTATCTACATTGGACTTTATTGCCTCTAATAATCTCCTGCAAAAGCACTACTAAGGCTTTGTGCCCACTTAAAGTATTTCTATATCTAATTTAAAAACTTTTGTCTCCCTTGTAGGAATGTTGTCTAAAATTGAAGCACAGAATGTCTGCACATTGCATAGAACCAGAATGGTGTTCTTAGAATACATTCTTACTATATACAGGGTGCTAGTTAAGCCTGTTGGGCTTCATGGGTGCTAAGTGTGAACTGAGCTTATCATGCAAAACACGTATAGGACTTTCCTGAACAGTGCATGGAAGGTTCAGTAATAATAATAATTTTTATTTATACCCCACCCTCCCCAGCCAAGCTCAGAGCGGCTTACAAGCAAAAATAAAATAAAAACAAGTTGAATGATTACAACTTAAAAACAAAATTAAAATACAGCATTAAAATACAGTAGTGGTGCACAAGCTGTCCTTCAGATCAGTTTGCCTGCCATTACTAATACTGTCATTTAATATGTTTAAAGCTCATTCTTTTCCTTGAAGAAAAACACTGTAGTTTTACCCTTCAGAGTTACAACTCCCAGCAACCCTTAAACTACAGTGCCCACAATTCTTTGGAAGAGAAATGTGCTTCAAATGTGTTTTAAAGGTATAGTGTGCATGTAGACTTTTATCTTTTGTATGAATCCAGAGTTGCTAGGAATGTGCTTCAAAATCTACAGTGTGCACTTGAAAGACTGATGGGCTACTAACTAGACAAACACAGGAGCCAACTCCTAGGGGCCAATGTCTCCCCCCCAGTAAAATATTTGAGGGGGATGGGCCTCCCAAAGTTGATGGGCATTGCCATTCAAATGGTGTGTTGTGCTGAGTCATGTGATTGATTATGTGGGGCAGGTAAGCCCCACATATTTTATTCAAGTGGACAGTTGTATGCCGAGAGGCCAGGTGTTTTGCTGCATTGCTTCCTGTGTGCTTGCACATTTCCCCTAAAATAAGGACAGAGATCTCTTACCTCAGGAGAATGGAGTTTAGCCTATGACTGTAATGCTTCCAAGGTAACTGTACGTTTTGCTCCTTCTCCTTGCTTTCATGCTATTATTTCCTTGCATGAAGCAGACAGTACATTCTCTTTGGTTGCTTTAGCATTATTATTTAGTTTCAGGTTCTCTTATTGGCTGGCAGCCTCTTCCCTAACAGGAGAATGGAGTTTAACGGTTGAGACTTTCCCGTTAAAGTTACTTTAATGGGAATCTAAATTGAATCTGGGGATGCGGGTGGCGCTGTGGGTAAAACCTCAGTGCCTAGGACTTGCTGATTGCATGGTCGGTGGCTCGAATCCCCGCGGCGGGGTGAGCTCCCATCTTTCGGTCCCTGCTCCTGCCCACCTAGCAGTTCGAAAGCACCCCTAAGTGCAAGTAGATAAATAGGTACCGCTTTATAGCGGGAAGGTAAACGGCGTTTCCGTGTGCTGCGCTGGTGCTGGCTCACCAGAGCAGCTTTGTCATGCTGGCCACGTGACCCGGAAGTGTCTTCGGACAGCGCTGGCTCCCGGCCTCTTAAGTGAGATGAGCGCACAACCCTAGAGTCGGACACGACTGGCCCGTACGGGCAGGGGTACCCTTACCTTTACCTTTAAATTGAATCTATTTCACCAAGATTCCATTTTTTAAAATAAATACATTTCATTAAGAATAGTTTATAGTATTGGAGTACAATTTGTTTCATCTAGTCTGGCATTGTCTACTGAGTAGACTGACTGGCAGTAACCTTGCAGTCTGAAATTGTAGGTTGGGGTCTTGATCCAAGCCTTTTGGGAAACAGGCATACAAAAAGAGCAGAGGCAAAACACATCAGCAACACATGCAGGTGCATGGTCCTGTGAAAGACCCAAGAACAATACAAATTACAGTGACATTCTCAAGGAATTGATCCAAACTCCTTATTTATACCCTGGGAGACTGCCACTGCTCTGTGCAGCACATGCATTTTAATGTGACAAAGCATTAATTGAAGACTGTCATCTCTCACAACAGACACAAAGCTGTTTTCTTTCTGGCAGCCACTTTTGCTGAATCGTTCAGTTTGCTAGAGCCTTTTGCTCTCTGTTATGCAATGAATATGGCAAAGATCTATGCACTACACAGCTGACTCAGGAGCAGCTGGAAACAATTTTGTGATGTACTAGAGCTCAGAAATAAAGGTGGCTACAGATTTTATATAACAAAAATGACTCTAGATCTTCCCTGGATTGGGGCCAATATCATGAGAGAGCAATATTCTAGTTTCATTACCGGCTTTGAAATTTTCTTACTGAGCACTTACAAGTGTTTAACATCCATTATCTCTGTAGCTCTGTAGCTCTTGCAACAGTCTTGCGAGAAAGGCCAGTATATCAGTCTCATGTTGCATGCATGTATATTAGCAGCATGGAGTGGGTTAAAGCTGAGTCTGAGCGATAGGGGCTTGCCTTAGGCATTCCCAACTAAAACAAAATTTGGACCAGTAACTGTCTACCTTCATTCTTTGGAGTGTTGGCTTTGGACCTGGGAAACCATAGGTCAAATCCCATATTCACTGAGTGGCCTTTATTAAGGTAGTTTCTAAGGTCAATTTCCCATTTATAATACAGTGATACCTAGGGTTACATACGCGTCATGTTACATACGCTTCAGGTTACAGACTCCGCTAACCCAGAAATATTACCTCGAGTTAAGAACTTTGCTTCAGGATGAGAACAGAAATTGTGCAGCGGCGGCACAGCAGCAGCAGGAGGCCCCATTAGCTAAAGTAGGTGCTTCAGGTTAAGAACAGTTTCAGGTTAAGAACAGACCTCCAGAATGAATTAAGTTCTTAACCCGATGTACCACTGTACAGGTTAAGCAACTCCATATCTCACACAGATACTATCTAAGGGTTAATGAGAGGATTTGTACAGCATAGAAGTATTCTCATTTATTATTAACCTTCCCCATACAAAGTTCAGAAGTCAAAAAAAAGCAAACGTTACTGAGGATATTGTTAGCAAAACAAAAAGCCAACCTTTGGAATTTCAGAGGCTCTGCTTCTTTCAAGAGATGGTTCAGAAACCTCATAGTAGCTAATGTATGCAAGAACTATTGTCCTGATCTTGAGGTACTGATCTGGTTTTGCAGCATCAGTTTAGTTTAGGCTACTGAACATTGAAATACTTCTACCACCCATAGAATGTCCTAGGTTCAACTCACAGTTCATCCAGTTAAGATAAACAAGGCTGCAGAGAGCACATAATACTGGGCTGGAATAAATGTTTGGACCAGATATTGAGTAATGATGAATATTAGTACTATTAACAGTAGATGATCACACTATCAGGAATTCTATCTAACATTATGAGTAGAAAGATATCCCATACTATCACTTCTAACACTAGACACTAAAAGTTACAGGAAACAAATCTTTACAGGAAGGAAATAACTTTCTGCTTTTTCTTTCACAGGAGGACATCTCACAGGAGCCATATTTAACCCAGCTCTGGCTTTTTCTTTGCACATAAGTTGTTTCGCTGAGCCTGATAAATTTTGGAATTATTTATTGGTATACTGGGTTGCACCGTGCATAGGTAAGTATATTTATATTTTATTTTATTTTATTTTATTAGGATGAGCTAGTACTCCTAACTAAGGATATAGAGCAGGCGTATTCAAACTTGGCCCTCCAGATGTTTTCGGACTACAATTCCCATCATTCCTGACCACTGGTCCTGTTAGCTAGGGATCATGGGAGTTGTAGTCCCAAAACATCTGGAGGGCTGAGTTTGCCTATGCCTGATATGGCCTTCACTAGAATACTGCTTTGGTTAAGTATGGCAGCCTCTTAAGTATGGCGTACATTTTCTGTCTGCTGCCTGAAAAAACAGCTTCCCAACCCTTGCTTGAGGAAGTCCTATAGCCACATCAGTGATCTGTTGTTAATAAATGATTAACAGCATGTTTGGTGTTAGAGAAAGGCTGGTCAATGATCCTACTCTTCCCCGGGAGCCCTTGGAAATAGTGGTCCATATGTATTGTTTGGGGCTACCATCTTTCAAATTAGTTCACAGTGGCGTTTGCCTTTGTGTGTGTGATGAGCAATTTAATCAGCTCTGTTGTTGCCAAGACAGTTGTGGATTATGTACATAAGTGGTAAACTGTGTTCACATAAGACTATTTAAACATCACACAATTCCCCCTCATGGGCAGACATATGTGAGTAGATAAGCTTGGTTTCCAGCATGTGAGTTCATGTAAAAAATTAAACATAACCACCAGCTATTTCCAACACACCCTTCAAACTGATATGCAAGTGCTCCAAAATGCCAGCAACATTTTACTTCCAGAAAGGCTGTTGTCGTCATGGTCATATGCACAGACACTTCTGAGGTTCAATAATATATTTTTACACAAAAGAGGAAGGTTGATAGCCTGACACCACTCTCCACTGCAGTTTGCCTTCTTCCCTTATGCAGTCTTCAGACACTACCTTAAAGCATGTTTATGTTTTCATCATTTCAGGGTCCGTGTTGGTGTTTTTGGTGTGGGATGAAATCCTTCCTTTGCTACACAGACAACGGTAAAATGGTAAAGCAAGGTGATGTTCAAAAGATTCTGTTAAAAATGGATGTGAAGAGACTGGACATTAGAATCACTTTGGCAACTTTCACGTGATTCTTTGGGGAGTACAGGACTCTACAACACAGTATTTATCTGACTTGTCAAAAGCAGAGCCATGCATTTCAAAACTGGAAGAATTTGTTAACGTAATGTTTTTTTGTAAAAAAAATGTCTTCTGCATCAAAATAGTTATAAGAAAAATAGAGAACACTTCTGGTAACCGGATGCCTGCTTCACTTCTACTCGTGTAATTTAGGCAAGCTTCTTTTACAAAAATTCACCTCACTTGAACCTGCCTCAAGTGACTTACCCTGCACCTTTTATTATCCAGCCTCCATTCCAATTCAAGCCTGCATCTACAGCCACAGAAGTGCACTTTAAGGGAAGGAGGGGGGAAACAGTATCCAAAAGTTGACACACTTTCAATATTAAGGCAAGTGTTCAAAAGTGTGCAAAAGGGAGAGGTGGACACAGTACAAAATGTTTTACTAAGGCTCATGTTAAGTAGTTCTGGATCTGCAACAGGGAGATTCCTCTATGTGCCAGGCAAATAATTTAAGTCGCTACAATTTTAAGATGCTTGTTAGGAAGCAAGCAATGCTAACCCTAGCCAACATTCACTGATACCTGTTTACAAAAGCCATTTAGAGCACCGTATGTTTCAGGCATCTCGTGTGCCACAGTAACAGAATTGTTCTAATGGCACAGACTCAGCAGGCAAGGACCAAAAACGCAGAAAGCAGGCCGAGGACAGAAAGTTTATGTCTCTTGGTAATCTCTTTATATTTCCATTTTTTAAGAATGAAGTTATTTGGAACTATGCATCACAAAAGACAGCCAGACTTTTTATCTGTTAATTGGTTTCACAAATGTAGCCAGGATTTTGCGCTTCAGTAAAAACCTTTAATGAGGAATTTGCATAAAATACTGGAACAGAACTGAAGGTAGTGAACACTAGGTTTTTGATTAGCAACACAAATCTACTATATTAATTCACATCAAACGTTTTTTAAAAAATCATTCCAGCAGCCAACTTTTGGTGTATGCTGCTGTTTTGCTTACAATCAAGATCCATGTTTCCCCTTACCCATGACAGCCTTTCCCCACCATCCGGTTCTTAAGTCGGTGCTCACATTTAGGAATCTTGAAGGACTTATGTCAATAAACACTACAGTTCTGACCTATTCTCAAGCTCACAGAAGCATGCTCTAAAAATCCCAAACTCATCTGAAATGACAGCTGTCAGGAATACCTGTTAAAAAAATTAAATCTAACAATGTTTGGTGGGAGGGACTGTTATTCTGGAGGGTCCACTTTTATGTTGAAATGAAGTTTGTTCTTAGCTGATCTCTAATTTCAAACCAAAGCTTTGCGATGATATAAGGTGAAGCTTTAGGAAGAATGGCGGAGTTCATGTGTCAAACCTTTACAGATTTGGTATTTATCAGTTTTTCCTGTAAAGTATTAAACCTCCCTGTTCTGCAAGAACTTGTGAAACTGACACTATTTAACAGCTGTGCTGTGGAAACGAACTGTGGAAATAAGGTACCAAGTTGCCTCTATGGCAAAAGAAACACAAAAGATCTCAGTGTCTTCAGTTCTAAGCCCTACATTAGTTGGCTCAGAACCTGTGACCCTGAATCTCAGTCCACTGAACTCATTTGAGTTACACAACCGTATTGAATGGAATTTGGGCACCGTGGAAATGCTGCCTGGAAAATAACTGGAGCCTAATTAAGTAGCTGCTACTTAAGGACAAATGTTGACGTCTTTTTGAAATTGTAGGAAATGGGTATATTTTCTTCACAATAAAAGAAAAGCCTTTTATTCTTTCCCCTGCTGTATGTTTCTTCTTTTTTTTTTGAGCCTTTAAACATCAGAGCATTAATTTCATAATTTAGAGCAAACTTCATAATCCTATTTTCCTTCTTTCCGAATCAAAAGTGAATCTTATTTAGAAGGCATTTCTAACTACTGCTCCAGGAGAAACAGTGTTAAGAAACATTTTCTATGCAGTTCAAAAATGATCGCTCTGAAGTTGGGGAGCTCAACCATCATTATAGCTAAGTGAAACTTTTTTAAAAAAAAATGAAGTAACTGTTCCTAGTTCTTGAAACAGTGTCAAATCATGAGGAGAGACAGAGCCAATATGAAATGCAAGTAAGCTGTCAGAAACCAAGAGGACACTACTAACCAGAAGCCCTGTGCTGACATTTAAATTCTCATGCAGGTATTTTCAACTTTTTCACTTTTAACCCAAATATGCATTTGGGAACCCACTTCTTACCATATATATGCCCAGTGGTGGTGCTCCTGTTGCTACCCACTTGGGATCAGGCTGTGATCTTCTAGTCTAATAGATCCTGATCCTCCAACTGAAGACTAGTGTGTTAGGGAATTAAAATTGCCCCTTCCCATGCCTGCCTGCCATTCAGTATGAGGAACTTCACATTTGTAATATAGGATAACTCGGAGAGAGTCCAATATGTGTGAACTGTACACCACACAATTCAAGAAGTATAAATTAGGCAAACAGAGCTCCACGTTTGCAAGCCCCCAGGCAGATGTGTGCATCAGGAGGGCTAAGTACAACGCAAGAGGAGCCTTGCTAGATCAGTGCAGTGGCCAATCTAGTCCAGCATCCTGTCCTCACAGTGGCCAACCAGGTGCCCAATGGGAAACCCGTATTCAGGATCTGAGTACAAGAACACTATTTGTGATTTGCAGCAGCTGGCATTTAGAGGCACAGTGACTCTGCCAATGGAAGCAGAACCAAGTGTCATCTTCTAGGAATTAGTCTAATCTACCACTACACCTTGTGGAAGCAAATTCGAGAGTTCAGCTACGTGCTGTGTGAAGTAGTACTTCCTTTTGTCTGTGCTGCGTCTTCAGACATTCAGCTTCATTGGCTGGCCCCAAATTCTCCACACTGTGCATCATTTTATATACCTATATCGCGTCTGCTTGTCATCTTCTGCAGCAGCTCAGAACCCTTGAGCCCAGGAAGACACACGAAGCACTAGAAAGGAGAACTAGCCAAACCTTGAATTTGGAAAAAAAAGTTTCCTGTGACACAGAAAGAATGTACAAAAAGGTAGTCTGTAAGATACAAAAATTATATTTATTGAACCATTTTATTTATAACAAAAACGTAAGAAGTTTACCATCTGGGGGCAATACAGATGCCATCCCAACGCCAATCTGGGCCACTAAAACCATGAGAAAGCAAGAGCGTCCAATGCAATGAGCCAATCCCTTGCAGGGTTTTTACAATTTGTTTGTTACTGCGGCGCCACCGTACCTCTTGCCTCTTTAGCTAAACCAAAGTTAACGCTCATGTCAGACATTGTCAGCTGCGGATAAACAGGCACAAAAATATGGGGGAAATTCTAGGACAATCTAGAATTCTGTTCTAAGTACAACTTTATTCTTTAATCTCTATCGTTTCTGTAAAGGCTTTCCAGCAATAACCCATGATTAATCCCTCCTTTCAAACCCAAGGTATTATACTTTTCTCAAGTTCTTATGTTTTTTAAAAAAGCCAGCCCCACAGTGTCAAATCCTGTTTTATATCAGCACATCTATAAAAGCATTTACAGACCTAAATACCCATATTTAGGTCAATAATACCGAAAGGGCAATTCCTGATATAACATCTTCAAGCTTGGAGAGCCTGTTCTGAAAATGCAGAGAGAAGAATCTGGAAAACAGACAAGACATGGATGGGTTCAGCAGTGGGAACTTCTTTTTGGTTTACAGAAAGAAGGAAGCATAGGACAGAGAGCAAAGCTGCTACAACGCACCAGGGACCTCTTGGCATCGTTTTGAGCCAGAGCTGTTCTGGTGAGCACCGGAAAACCCACAATTATGTACAAAGAGAACTTAAATACTAGGCTATATGATGGCCAGTGTTTATTTTAACCGGCTTTATAGACTTGGCAGGGAATAGCAGGAGGACAAAAAGCAGTAACAAAGGTATATGGGTGTAGCACAGGGTGGGGAAGACAATGGAACACAGCCGGAGTGGGAGAAACAATGACATAAATGATATTGTACGAGTTGGTGTTAACGTATTTCACCACATAATTATCGCATAGTAGTCGCACCCTGTTTTCTCACTCCAAAAATTATATTTCATTGCGTAATTGTCACATGGAATATTTTGAGGATCTGCTAGGACTCAGGCCCCCCTTCCTTTCCTCTTCCAGCCACAGGCACTCCTGCTCCCCTCGCAAACTTGGCCATGAGCTCCCAGGCTGTCTTGGCCTCTTCCCTGGGCTTGGCCAACTTGTGGCGAACAGTCCGCCATTGCCAACAGGCACAGAGCAGTGCCAAGGCTGTCTGCTGCTGCTGCTGCCAAGCCCCCAGTGCTCTGCAGCAGCACCAGGCCGCCCCACTTTGCAAGGCGAAGATGGGGTGGCCTGCATCGTGTACCTTGTGGAGCTGCGGCTGCCGGCTGCTGGAAGCAGAAGAAGTCAGTCCCTCTACTCTCAGCGCTTGGCGGCAACAACTGGCAGCCCTGGCTCAGCCAAGTTAATGGAGGCAGTGGCTGAGAACGACCCCTTCCTCCATCTCCGCCCCAGCAGAGGGCACGTGGCCTGGGGCCTCGACAGGACAGGAGGCTGAGCCGCTCACGCAGCCCCCAAACCCCTTGGAAAGCCGGCACTCTGACACGGGCTTCACATAATGGTCACACCCCACTTTTTGGAAAAGTGCACTTGGCATAAAATCTGTGGCAATTACGTGGTGAAATACGGTACTGTATATAAAAGTTTCACCTTCCTTGTTTTGTCCTCATACATTTGTTATGAACCTCCCCATGAGATAGGCGAGGCACAGAGACAACAACTAGCCCAAGGTCACCTGGTGAGCTTCATGGCACATTTTTGCTTTATTATGGTTTTTACTTTTGCACTCTAACCTGTGATAGTTTTGTGATAATGTGGGGTACACATCACCTAGATAAAACCAACAAACCACCCTCAGGGATCTAAATTCTGAGACCGGATATCTCAGATACTGCACAGAGAGAATTAGCTTATAATGTAGCATTTAACACATGCCCTTATAATGTAGCATTTAACACATGAAAACTTTTATTAGTTAAAAGGAGGTTTTTTAAAAATTAAGTCTGCTTTATATGCTGTTTGAGCATAGGGTGAACTGGTGGGGCGAAATCTAAGCAAGCTGGGTATTTTTCAGCAAGTTAATGAATTAGAA